ACTTACCAAAACAAAACAAAACAAAACAAAACAAAAAAACACCCAAAAAAAACAAAAAAATCTTTCTTTTTTTTAAAAAAAGACATGTCAGGATTATGTACTAGGAACAAACAGGTAATTACTAACTTTACATTTTATTTACACCTGTAATTCATGCAGAATTTGAGGTGTACTTAAACGTGCAGTTAAATTTGGCGATACTCCTCTTTTGTCAGAGAACAATAGGGGCAACAAGGGGCCACCCTCCTGCTTCTTGGCTAAACATGGCCGACTGGACATGGGCATGATCACAGGGGCTTGATTGTTACTAGCGTACAAAAGGGAAGGCTCCTTGGCCTGTATTGAGGGGAGCCTCTCTGAGTGTTCAGAACAGCAGTTAACAGAGGGGAACAGGCGGTGCTATATCCACCATTCACACACCAGTCAGATGCTTTCACTTAACTCTGCAAACTAAAAAGTCACATACGAAACTGCAGTTTGTGTTGACTTGGTCCACATTTATTATTACTTTCCCTTTACAATCAGTGGGAGAGGCTGCTTTTTCAATCTTGATTTTGTTTCAAGAGGTTTTAATCATGCAAACCACCTCTAGTGGTTTTCCTTTGGATGTGGATGTAAATCGTTACCAATGGTAAATTTCATCCATGTATTAAAAATGACACCTTATGTAACAATTGGCTGTAAGCACAACAATAAAAAGGATGTAAGTATTTATTTAACGTCGCACTAAATTAGTTTGATCTTCACCCCCAGTCATTTCCTTTTGGAATGATTGTTAGGCTCTTGCATAATCCGACTGTTAGCCCACACTGGGATCTAAAATAGCAGGCAGTTTAAATCACTTAGAGCTTAGAAATCAAGAGGCAGTGTCTTTTCATTCTATTTCATGGTGAATTCTAAGCTCTCTGTTCTTCCATCATCTAACTACTGCTCCTCAATCAAGTTTATATAGCCCAACCATGAAGGAACATCCTGTAATTTTCATTTTATTTACAAAGGCCCCAAACTCTCTAAATGGTATACTGCAAACTCAGTGTGTGACAATTTTGATGCTGTGTGAAGCACATGTTGGTGAAAGGCACAGACTGATTAATACATAGAAGTTACTTAATGCCTGGTATGCAGTAAGTGCTAATTAAGTGTTTGCTATTATTCCCTATTTCAAAGGAAATGAGTCCCTGGTGTACAACCACGTCCCCCTTTTCACGCTGCGCCACATGCATTTGTCCTTCTCGGCTCACCTCATCATCCTACTCTGAGAAATGTTATGACTTATCACATCTGGTCTATAGTGAAACTGAAATTAAAAAAAAAAAAAAAATCAAGGCATCTTAGCCAACTTTCCTTAAGAAGGGCTTGCCCTGAGGAGTATTCCTGGTTCCTGGAGATCAGACTTGAATTTTTCTTCCTTCAAGTCAGCTAAGTGGATTATAGTACTCTGGATCACTAACTAACTGGCTCCAAATGGTTGGTTTAACTCCGCAGTGTCTGGGCACTGCAATGCAATGCAACGCAATGCAACAAGTTCCAACAGCTCATCAAATTGCCTATAAATGAATATTTTGATGGGAAGCTTCTCTGGTTCCACATTTTAAACTAAGTAGAAACCAGACACACTAGTACTGACAGTGCTTGCGAAAGTCAACGTGTGTTTCTAAAATCTCTACTGTGAATATCACATGATTACAAAGCTGCAAAAACATACAGGGTCGTAGCATCTTATATAATTAGATTCTATTTTTACTCTATAGCTATCCTAGTTCTTTAAAAACAAAACGACTATCATCCAGATTGTGAATAAGGAAAGAACGCAGTTGTTTATAGCCAAACAAATTAAAGCGTTTTTTAATGTTTTGCAAGCTACTACTACCAGGGAAATATTTTAATTAGCAAACTTCTTTATCTAGAGGTTATAGATAATGCCATTGATATGCTTTTCTTGATATCATTTTCAGACAATCATCATTGCCTCTTACCACTGTCTCTATTAAGCATTTCCCAATTTACAAAATAGTTGAACTCCTACGTTGAAAATTAATACACTAGAGCACCTCCCCTCTCCTTTTCCCCTTTCAACATCATAAAGGGCATTTAAACAAAAGAAGGCACTTTGTACCCTATACATAAGTCACAGGGCTTTGTCTGGCTGTGAGCCTGACCCAAGTGCTGCCAGAAAGCTGTTTTCAAAACACATCACTGGAGCTGAAGACATCTAATGTCTGTGCTGCCCAGCACCCAGGTACCCTTTAATGTTAACATAACACCCTGGTTTTCCTTCGCGGATTCACCTCTTCCCTCCCTTTTCTCAAGCTACGTGAGTTTAGTCGGAATGAATCACTCACTGCCACTTCCCACACTGGATCTGATTGCCTTAAGATCATCAATGTATTTATCCCCTAACCCCAATCTCCAATGCCCATTGTGATTGGTTCCCGGATGGACATATTAACCAATCAGAGCCAATGAGTCTCAGAACTACCTTAGTTGGTCATTTTGTGAAGGAAAAAAAAAAAAAAATTCCATCTCTCCTATAGAAGCAACCAAGAAGAACCTCTCTCTTTCCTTAGAATGAGTGGTAGGAGAATGTGAGGCTTGGAGGGAGTGTAGCAGCCATTGAGCTAAGAAAAGAGAAGAGCCTGGGGCCCCTGGGGTGGCATGAGGTGGTGAGGGTCCCCCCACCACCTTGTAGGGCCTGAAGTAGAAGACAACACTGCAGAAGCCAGCCTGTTTAGGCTGGAGCTGGAAAGACCTGAACTGTGGGAACATAGTGTGAGTTTTCAGATCGAGCTCCACGGGAACCAGTCTGGACTCTGGACTCTTCAGTTACTGAGTCAATGCATTTCCTTTAACATTTGTCAGTCTGGGTTGTGTCATCTGTTACTTGCAACACGAAGAGCCCTAAACAATGCAGGCAAAATAGCTTAGATTGAATAGGAACATCTGGGCTCCACAAATTGTATTCCCGAGAGCACCGTGGTGCTACCTGCAGCATGACAGGGAGTGGGAAGAAAATGAGCCAAGTCCAGGTTGGCCATCCGTTAAACTGGTGAGAAATTCAAGAATGGCTTCCATAGTGATGCCAGGGAGGAGAAGGAAAAGAAGAAGCCAAAAGACACAAAAAGACACAAAAAGAAGAAGCCAAAGCTTGGGAGTTAGGAGATCCTGCTCAGGCATCCCAGAGAAGAGAGTCTGAGTTGGCATCACTGTCTTCAAGCAATGGCTGCATACTAGCGTTCGGGAATTGGAGGCCGCCTGATTCTACCAATTGGTTGGTAAGGTAATTATGAAAAGTTGTCTAGTTGATAGAAGAAATTGGTTGTTAATGGGAACTATTCTTCACCTTAAAAAAAAAAAAGAGTGCTTATTTTAATGCAGATAAAATAGATTTACTGTGCCAAAAAAGGGGGGGCATGAAAATAAGTCTCTCAGGTTATTTTAATCAGTGGATGCTAAAGATTGGTAAACCACTCTTTTAAATAAGTACTATATTTATTCAATTGTCATTTCTGAGATTTTCACTTATAAATAATATTTCTTTGTTAAACTGTAAGGGTCACAATGAAATGTTTAGCCTTGAATTTAATATGAAGCCTGAGACATTTTCCATGGGTTTGCTCTTTTTTGCAAATTATTGCTCTGCCTTGGGAAATAAGATTGAAAGGAAATAGGATGAGAGTTATGGGCAAGGAAACATTTTCTTGGCTTATTATTAGAAAAAGAATATTCTTTCTTTGTCTTTCCTGAACTTAGAAGTTTTTTCCTATAGAATACTGAAATAGTTAACAATTCATAAAAAACATAAGCATCTACATTAAAACACAACCTTAAATACAGCCCTGTAATTTTTACCAGGAACCTTGTAAAGTATGATGAATATACATGCATGAATACTAAACTTAGACCATTCAACATTCACATGGAAATGCAGCATTACATACAATATAATAAATATCCAGGATATCAAATACACAAGGTGATCATTGTTTTGATGTAGATTCTTTTATCCAGTTAACACTTTTACTGCATAATTTATTATAATAGCCTTACAAGTTAAACAGAACTAATTAAAAGCAGAATTTAACTAATCTGCTGAAATAACACAATTCTCAATATCTTGCAGCATATTTTAATCTATAACATGTAAAACTGTCATTTTGACAAGAAAACCACATCCATATAACTGCTCAATTAACTTTTTTCAATGTTTAAAAAAAGTCAGAGTTAATAGAATGAAAAGAAACAGAAGCTAATCTTATTTCTGAGATAATTTTATCGCCTTAACTCTTGGGCTTTGGCAATAATGTCTGAAGTTTTAATATATATCATCATATAACTTAAATACTGTATTTACAAAATATATAACTTTTTTAAGCAAAATACTGTACAAAATACTGTCTTACATGTTTAAAGGGTGCTTTCCCTTACAATGTATGAAAGCCCTTTATGTTTTTACCTTTAAGTTTCCCACATGCTTTCGAGATCCCTCTCTTCTCCGATATTTCAGAGCTGGGTTTTAATAGTAGAAACTGGTCTACAATTAAAGAATAAAGCCAAAGATAAAAGATTGCTGTATATCTCACTGAGATTTTTCTAGATAAACTCTCATAGTTAAAAGGCACTTAAAATCCAAATCATACATTTTACGTTCTATGTTTAGATTCTTCCCTTTTGTCACTAAACATCTCTAGCAAACACATTGTAGGGATACTGTATCAGTTATGAAAATTCTTTTAAATTGCCCTTCTTTTGAAATGCATGAAAAGGTAGGTAAGCACCTTCCACTTCTGTTAACTTTTCTTTTCTTTTTTTTTTTTCTTTCAACGTTTATTTTTGGGACAGAGAGAGACAGAGCATGAAATGGGGAGGGGCAGAGAGAGAGGGAGACACAGAGTCGGAAACAGGCTCCAGGCTCTGAGCCATCAGCCCAGAGCCCGTCGCGGGGCTCGAACTCACGGACCGCGAGATCGTGACCCGACTTCTGCGCCACCCAGGCGCCCCTTCTGTTAACTTTTCAATGTCTGTTTCTATGCACAGTATGATTTCTTCACCCAAATTACTGAGAAAATAAATGAGATCATGTTTACTGTTCCTTGCTGCTATAAGATGTGCCTTTTAAAAACGTCTAATATTAAACCACCGCTATTGAGTTCCATAACTGAATTCCATAGTCAAGGATCTTATCCTAGGCATGGCCCAGGTCTCCCCGCATGAAGGCTCCTTCTTGTTCTTTCTTGTTTAGGAGACAGATTATCTTCTTGGTAGGTCCATATGTATTTCCAAACCACCAAAGAATGAACCCAAACCTTGTCAACTCTGGTATCCCCCCAAATCCACATGCTCAGTGTGTGACTGGATATCCGTCAGGAAAGGAGAGCGCTGCCGGAGGCCCAAGGGTCTGGGACTTCGGAGGCAGGAGGCGCCTTCCACAGCCCTGCACAGTGGGAGGCACCTGGGAATGGCAGTCCCTTGTTTGTCACTGAGGAGTGGGGCTGAAGGCTGGATGGAGGGGCTACTTGCAAGTGTGGACGTCAGTCATGCTTTCACACCTCCTGCAGCGGACGTAGCAGCACCAGATGAACTTGCACTCGCACCTCTCCACGTGCCTGACCACGTGGGTGTTGTAGCCGCGGCCACAACAAAGGAGGTTGCAGCCGTCCGCGCCCTCTGACGTGCGGTTGCATTCTCTGCCCTGTGTTCCTGGGATCCCTAGTTTCTTGTCCTCTACACAGTAATTGGGAGACTTATTAAGGTAGAGCAGATCATCTTTGCGGATGGGTATCTTCCTCTGATCTTTTTCTCTCCTGCGCATTTTCCTCTTTATTTTGTCTGAGATTTGGATACTGTTTTCATATTTGTCCTTCAACAAATGGCCGATCTTTTCAAAGGAAGACATCGTTTTCCAGCACGTTTTCACAGCGCAGGAGCCGGACACTCCGTGGCAGCGACAGTCTACTGACATCAGCTTGGCGACGGCCTGAAACCCACAGGAATCGCATTAAATATCATTCATGAAGTGTCTTACCCAACAACAGAAGCGCGGCTGACCTCACCACTTCACTTTCTGGGTCCGTGTAGTCCTGCACAAAAACGATAGTTTTGAACATGAAGGGTCTCTACAGCTGCTTCAGGGTTCCAGTGTTTTGTCGTTCTGACCCTGCAGAGCAAACGTTTCCAAGTCTAATTTAAAGTAGTGGACCAGGCCAATGTAGTCATCAGGGTTTATCTGAGACACCTGAGGGACACTACTCTTATGTCTATTTTTGTGTTTAATTTCGGGGTGGGAAGATGTTCATGCATGCCTCCATGTTCCTGATATCGCACCTTGCTACTCATAGTGTAGTTCATGAACCAGCAGCACCAACATCACTTGTGAGAAACGCAACTTCTCTGGCCCCACTCTAGTCCCACAGAATCAGGATCTGCATTTTAATGAGATTCTCAGGGGACTCGTATGCACCTTAAAACTTGAGAAGCACCGACAGGATGGTCATCCTCGCCTCACAAGTGCATAGAAGCATCCGTGGAAACTTTGCAAATAACCAACGCACTAATCGCTGAGATTCTGATTTACTTGGCCAAGGTGGGGTCCAGGCAGTGGCACGTCCACAAAGCTGCTCAGATGATTCTAACGGGCATCCAAGCATGAGATCTATGGATTGAGAGTTCTCAGGTTTGATCACTGTAAAAGTCCATTACGTTCATGCGGGCTTGAGGCACCGTGTTATCCTCTGGTCACAGACCACATGAGAAACCCTGACTAATCAACTTAAATTGGTCAAAAGGAGAAGGGGCTGGAGAGTGTGGTTGCTCCCAGCAAATTCTTCCCCTGTTGTGGAAAATTAATTCAAAACATATGTCCTATTCTTGATGGATCAGTAGCACCATCCTAACATAGAAAAGGGATAATATATATACATAATTTTTCAATTCGAAGTGCTGAGTTTGGTTTATTCAGCCTGAGGAATTAAATGAAATTACATATATCTGTAAGAGTCCATTGCCTGGCACACATTAAGGTCTAAATAAATGCCCCCTTTCCCTGAAGAAGAAGGTCCGGGAAGAGTTGAGAGAAAATTTTACATGGGGCTCACCGTGCAAAAGCAATAGAGAGATTTCAAGAATTTTGGGGTTCTATTCTCTTATACAGCAGGCTGGTTAACACAGCTTCCTTCCATCCCTAGAGGACGACAGAGCAGATTAATAAATCGCCGGGGCTAGCTGTAGCGCTGACGGTCTGTCAGCATGCTGGGTAAAATGGGAAATTGATCTGCCCATTCAATAACTTGGAAATTATGTGTGTCATCTCACCAAAGAAAGGAAAACCTCACAGCTTAAATTCCACTTACAGTTCTTATCACGACTCTAAAATGACAGGGGTTTATGTTTTGCCATTTTATACTAAACTTGACACTGACGTGTTCGTGGAATGTTAGGTTTCCCAACAAATTAAGGTTTCTGAACTATCTAATGAGATGGACTATTTCGGACAATTTATAATATTTGCAACCTTGAGTGAGAGCATATGGTATTGATTTGTGCAATATTCGATACTTATTAGTGTTGAAAATAGTAAACAGAATAATATTTAAACCCTGTCCTTTATGGAATAGAGCACATATGCTCTTTTTGAATTCATAAAACTGAGAAGCAAGTAGCTATGTCTATTTCTTAGTAACTCAGGCAAAAGACAGCTTTCAATGATATGAAAGCAATTTATAAAGTATGGCACACAGCTTAGTTACTTAAATTTATGGCATTTGATATTCACAAAGACTTCCATTCTTTAAAATGTCTCCAGGCAAATAAATGTTCAAATTAATGCAATCTGCCTACTTTTGTTCAGATTTTAAGGGCTTGAAGGATATGAGAAAGAGAGAGCTCAGCTAATGCTAGGCAATAACAAAACAAATTGTCCAAAGAAAGCCAAAAATCTAAGAATGTCTGTTTATGTATTTAAACCTGATCAACATTCCTCACAGTCATCGCTTGGTGATTTAAAACTGCCTCTTGCTCAGGATCTTACTGAGGGGCCGATTTTTGTTTCATCAACCAGTTCAGACATCATGTATGGTGTTGCCAATTTGCAAAGCATGGAGGATGGAGTAGATGCTCACCAAATACTTACGGAATAGTTAGTCCAGCTCACTTGAACAGCTTTAACTCACTCTCTGTTGGTGCTCTGAAGCTGAAGAAAGAACTGAAAACCACCTTAAACAAAGGAGTCACTGCCAGGAGAGTCAATGGCATGGAAAGGTCTGGATCCTATGGGGCTCTCCTCCGATTTCTCAGCCCACAGCAGTGTTAGGCCACAGAGTTAGCACACATTACCTGCCAGGTTCGAAGGATAAAAAGGTGATATCTAATGATATCACCTGCTGAATTCACATCAGAATTTTGGGAAGATTTTCTTGCTATAGAAAACTAGAATCTTTTAAATACCTGGAGTTAGTTATAACTTTTCAGGGATGATATTTTTAAGTTTTGTTCGATTACCTTTCAATTCCATTATCTTTTTTGTCCTTAACAATAAGTATAAATATGGTATTTCTATCGTGTGTATATTTTATATTTATATTTTATTTATTTACATTTTATCATAAGTTTTATTGTATATATTTTATATTACATATGTTTTACCATATATATTATCATATATATGGATATAGATATAGACATAGCTATAGATATAGTCTAGGATAGAAAGACAAATAAACATCAAGGAGAAGAATTCCAATAACTTGACATGAAATTTAAATGATTATAGCCGCCCCCCCCAAAAAAAAAACTCTAAGGAAGAAACTTCGGCAAATAAGGATTAAAATAAAGCAATGTAATTACCATTAGGACAATTTGATGAAATGCAGAGTCCAAGGCAGATCACACACACACACACACACACACACACACACACACACGTACAGTTTAACTGCAGAACTTAGTGTTTCTCAGAGAACTTTGTCATAAATTATTTTACTTGATGTGGCTTTACAGAAAGAAATGCCTTGCACACAGTAGGTAGTTAATGAACATGTACTTACATATTATTCCAGTTTTACAAAAGAATGAACAGCATGGTTAAGACACTTGATTTACATAAGGAAAGTTGGTGATATATGATGTCAAGTCTGTATATGCAGCTGGAGAATTTTAGTAGAACAGAGAAAAATGAAAATGGAAAATGTAGTATACTTAAGGAAATTGCATGAACACTCCAAAAAAAAGTATATTCTGGAGCTTTTCAGCTGGGATTCTTGATTAACATCAAACAGCCGCTCTGAATTGCAGCGATAGCAGCCATTTTCTGCTAACAGGAAAAGTTAGAGAACAGCATTCGTATGAGTAGTATGTGGTTATGAGAAAATTCCTTTCTCTACTCTAGTTGAGTTGTTAAGGTTTATAACGATATTAACAGAGGAATGTTTTGTTAACTATTGCAAACAGATGTGCACATTTTGGTGGAATATTTTTCAACTATGGGAGAGCAATTAGGAGGGTAGCATTCAATTTACTGGGCTCTTTGTGTTAAGTTTTGGTTTGATGAACTTCTAATGAAGTGAAATAGGAAAGATGTATCATTAATACTTAATGTAAAAATAGAAACTGCTAAGAAGTGGTCTAAGGAGGGACTGGTCCCACAATTTTGATTCAGAGGCAACACAGCAGGCGATGATTGTTTTCCAGTGTATCGCTTTATCCAAACTTCACAGAAATGACCAAAACAAAACAAAACAAACTATTGTGGAACATTTTGTTATAAACATTTCATTTTGTCAACTATCAGATGATCTGGTTAAGTTTTTAGGAAAACTGTGACATAAGGTTGGATGGTTATATGTAGAATTCCTATTCCTCTGACCCATTTTGTCTCTTTCAGTCCAAAAATATATTTGAACCTGCTGAAAAGCAAAACACTTATGTGTTGTTCAAGTACTTATAAATATTCTTGAAACAGGTCAATGAAAATTTGGGGTTGGGCCCTTCCCACTTTTTTGAGTTACTCATCATAAAACAAATTATGGGGTAGGGAAACTTAAAAGTTTATGAGGTGGACATGGGAAGAATGGAAATATTTTAAGCACACCAAAAGAAATACCCATAAATATTCCAAGTCACATTATTCCCAGAAGTTCTGCCCCTGGAAGACATCACATCATTCTGTTAGCCAATCACCATTCAGCAACATTATTCTTGGAGTCATAACTTTAGGAATGGTGTCAGAAACCAAGTGGGAATCAGAGTATTTAAGGTCAGCGGTTAGAAAATCATCTATCCTGCTCACAGCACTACTAAGCGCCAGTACCCACATTTCTCTGAACGCTTTCCTACATTTTGAGTTTGGGATTTTGAGACGAGGAAAATCAACTCAATTGAATGCAGACCTTGAACTTTACTCAGAAGAATATGCCTATTAGATTAAAATCCTAATTGCCAATCTTAAAAATGGAGTTGATTGTTCTTCCATATTAGATAATAGCCTGGAAACCTGGTTGGTTTTTGTTGTTGTGGGGGGGGGGGGAGGGGGGGCTTGGCTGCAGTGGAAAGAAAAATACAAAATGGTTTTGAATTGTAATATTTCATGAAAACAGACCAACAAAAACTCCAGTCCAGGTAACGTTTTGTAATATTTTAAGACTCTATGTAGACCAATGAAGAACAAAAAGACTCAGTAGAGAAAACTCCAAAATGTACACAAACTGCATATATATGTATAGACTGAATTATTTTCTGCATGATTAGAATAATAGCAAAAACCTCAGTAATGTGAGAAGATTGTTTTTTGCCAACAAACAGTGGATTAAAATTGATGCTAAATAGTTGTATGTTTTTAATAAACTTGGAATATAAATACTAGTTGAAGATCAAGTGGTTACTGAGGCAAATATTGCTACCTAATTAGAAACAACACACAAGACAGAATAACACTAAATACCTGCCTAATGATACTGATAAAAACACAGAATACTGCAGAGCTTCTCAGAAGTTTAGGGATAGCTTTATTCAGGGAATTAATCATGACATGAATTTCCAAGTTTTGTTTTCTAGTGAAATGTTAAAACTCCCTACAAAATTATTTAAAGAATGATTAAAGAAGATTTAAGATCTAAATTGATAATTAATATACATTTGTGGGTCTTTTTAAAGATATTAATTTGACTTAATGTGTTTCTCATCCTAACTCTAGAGTTTTAAAAAATATGTATTAAGAAACACAAACATATATTTGACCTCTTTTATATTCATATGTTAGAGATAATTTTAAAAATCCTTTAGTGGATAATGTTTACATTGAAGCAGAACCTCATTCATTTAATTTTTTTTTTTACATGGAAAACTTTAAGAAGAGACATGTGCGTAACTGTGGTGTCAGGCAAGGATTACTTTATTAAATTTTAAAATTTCTAAACAAAAATATGAAAAGCCTACCTAGCTATTTACTGACTTGCCTAGTTTCTATTTTGCTATTTTGAATCAATATTCACATTGAATTAAAAATTCAGATTTGAATTTGAAGCATCATGGTGATAATAACATTTATTGAGATTTCTGTTTTCGCATTATAAACCAGAATGGCTAAGTAAAGAAAGCTGGCTGAAACTTGTACCTATTCTAAGTGGGTTCCATTTATTCACTTTCCAAAAATGTAAAACAAATGTAACATATACTTTAAATATTTCTGGCAGATACTGCAACTTGCTTTAATTTATTTCAGGAGAATGTGGCAGATTGCAATGATTACTTTGGGACCTTTACAGGTTATTGGATATTTACAATAATATAGGATATGTGCTGATATTCCTGTCCTAAAGAGATTATCACAACATAGAAAAAGTATATTCATAAAAAGGTTTTGACTGTTTTAAGAAGCTCACTATGAATTGCCAAGTAATTCCCCTATGTTGTAGAACTCAAATTTTATTGTGTCAATATTCATTAAAATAAATATGTAAAAGTGAAATTAAGCTACAAATTTATTCCATTTTAAGAAAACTTTAGTATAAAACACAGAATTCATAAAAGAGGTTAATTAGATGGTGGTTCTTCAAATTTAATTAAAGATTAAATTAAATCTTTAATATGTATATATTTAAATATCCACATGTTTAATGTATCTAAAGCTTCTTTACATTTATCTGCATTTATTGTTTTTTATAATGAATCTGTATCACTTTATAATAAAATAACTAATTGTCTTTAAAAAAGATTTGTTTTACCAAAATATTAGTTAGGAGTTACGAATTCTCTAATGTATCCAAGAATGTTTGCTGGAGAAAGTACGGACGCATTGATCACATGATGTTTAGGAGCCATTTCCCACTAAAAATAGATTTAAAGAAATAATCAAAAGTCATATTTAAGACGGAATTTGCTTCAGTACCATTAGGCAGATCCTATAGATCTTATTCTGGCTCTATCGCTAAGGGGATGGAACAAAATCACCCAAAGGCATGTGCACATCTATTATTTTATAATTAGTGTTCCAGGTAGACAAAATATAAAATCACCAATACATCAACCCCTATCCGATGGAGAACTTAAACTGAATCGATGTAGAAGTCATACATATTGTTTATGTATACAATAAACACATGCATATATTATACATATAGATGACATATATGTTTCTTCCACTACCAGTGTATGTTTTTAAAATCACTTGGACAGATTCATTCAGAAGTGTCATCCCAGTGTTATTTAAAGGCACTAGATTTCATTCCATTTTCTGATACATACCTGCCTTCCGGCTTCATTGTTGTGTAGGTTCATTGCTAACAGAACTTTGCTTTCTTTTCCTGTGGTGTTTTTGATGGGGAAATCTAGGAACTTTCTGCTGAACCACATGCCATACTGGACATCATCGGAGCAGCCCCCCCAGTGCCAGCCTTCACTAGCTGAGCCGCCATTCTGCAAGGTGGTGTCACAGGAGCACTCGGTCATGTTGCCTGCACTGCATGACCTGGTCACAGAATGCACCAGGCCTGCAGCCATCACAGCATAAATAAATGCTGTTTCCTTGGTGCCTAGAACAAAACATAAATTGCTGAATGGAAGAGCCATACCTCCGTCTGTTTATGTTCATAGCAAAGCCTCCTTCTTAACCTCTTAGCAGGAAAGTGATTTTGCAATTACTTTCAATGGATGCTTTAATGAGTACATATTTAGAAAGGACAATTTCATATTGTTTTAGTCTTATAAAAAAGCTACATTAATTTTCAGTATTCCACTTGGGGGGCATTTTTATATATTGTACAGCATAAATTGCCCTCATGACAATTAGAATCATCTGTTTATTTTTAAAATTTGAAATGTATGCCAGCACCTAGCTCAGTACTTAATAGACAATAAAAGTCCAATAAGTACATATTGAATTTAAAATCCTTCTCATGGATACAGTAAATGGTAATACAATGTCCAAAGAGTCCAGATTACCTTTATTTTTACATTTCAAATGTGTTCTCACAAAACACAAGCTGAAAAACTTGGTGTGATTTTTGTTTGTGTAAATAATACACGTCAGAATGCAAATTAAAATTAAGCAAAGGCCAAAGCAATCAGTAGATGTTACAGTTTACTTTCACATCAAAGACTGTTTTTTTTTCCCAAGGATATCATAAACAACAGTCACTGATATTAATATGGAACAGTTAAATATTTTATATAGTGCTAGCTAATCCTTTTACAGTCTTAAAAGCAGTGAAAGTCACCAGCAAAGAAATGAAATGTCACCAGCAAAGAAAAAAAAAAAAAAGAATTGTTATAGAAATCTACTGAGTATATATTTAGCCCACCTGCAATAGAGTTTGAGCTAAAATCTTTGAAAATTAAAGTTCATTAAAACATTAGTAAAATGGGCTAGAAGAGACTCAGCAAATGACCCTTTTTTCTTTTGAGATAAGATTGGAGTAGAAACAGTTGCATGCCCGTTGTCCAAAAAACCTTTTCAACAGCTGATGTCCCTGAATTTCACCAACTAAAACTTTTCTGCTTCTAATTCTCCTTCTTCTCCTTCTTCCTTCCTTCCTTCCTTCCCTCCTTCCTCCTCCTTTTTTTTCCCCCTTCTTCCTTCTTTTTTCTTCTGCGGGGGTGCGGGGAGGGGCAGGCCCCCTTCGGAAAGGCGCGCCGGCCAAAACGCAGCGGGGCAAATGCAATACTTTGGCGGCGATGCGTGCAGGGAGCGGGTGGAGAAGGGTCAAAGGAGGAGGGAGGACGGAAATGAATGTGAAAAACAACAACGAATCTTTCGGCGCCCAGGTTCTAAAATTCTTTGAATCTGCTGATATTCCTAGAACAATCCTGGTTCCCTGAACCTTTATCCCTACAGAGTCACTGGGCACGTGGAAGTGGAACTTTGTTTTACTGCAGCTTCCCGCGCCGCGGGTCTGCTCTCTGGAGGGCAGATATAAAAGGAAAGGAGACCAGAGGGGAGAGCCAAAGTAGTCGCGCTCGGGTTAGCCGCACGTTGAGTTGTCCAGGACGTTCCCTTTTACAATCACCGTTATTCTGTCTGCCCCGCGCTCCGAGGTGCCAACAAACGTGGGGCTTCGCTGCAATTAGCCCCTTGTCCAAGGCTCGGTGCGCAGCGGAGCTCTTAAATCAAAGCAGATGCGGCGGCAGCATTCCCTGCTGCCGACATCATGTTTCTCCAGCTGGTCACCCACGTAGGGGGGCGCTACGGGGTCCGAGGGGTCGGCGGGGTGGAGTGTCAGTTTTTCTGCAACTCCCGCCGAGCGCCGCGGGACGGAGGAAGAGCTACAGCTCCTAGCGCCCCACTCTGGACCTGGGGAGGAGTCACCCCCCTCCAGGACCGCACCTGCACCCGGGCCTGGTTTCCGTCACCCCCCCCCCCCCCAATTCTCGTCCACTAAAGGACCTCTTTTGGGATTGAGACAGCGGCGGACCACGAAAGCACTCCTTCATTTACCGTACTTGGAGGAGTTGTCGCCCTCCATCCTGCGCCATCCCCGAGGGTCCGGGACTTACCGCTGCTCAGCTCGTAGCCAAAGAGGGGGCTGGTGCCCGGCTGGGCGGTGGCGGTGACCAGGCAGTTCCATCTCTCGTGTCTGAACTGGCTCCTGCACTCCTGAATGCCCAGCCGCGCGCCCTCCCCGATGCTCGGCAGCAGGTACGGTTTCCTCTTGCACAGCTCCTTCTGGCGGCTGTTCAGCGGCAAGTTGGCGCAGCCCAGCTTCTCCGGAACCCCAAAGGAAGCGATGCCCAACCACCTGTAAGACACCGCCGCCCCTAGCGTGAGCCGCTCCCCAGCTCTCCTCTCCGATCCCAGGTGTTTTGCCAAATTTTGGGTCATCCGCCCTAGGGCCCCCGGCCCTGCTCCCCCGCGTCAGCGGGAAGTCCCCCGAGGCTGGGCACCCCTTTTGCCACAACCCCCGTGCCGCCCCCATACTCACATCCAATTTCCTTGGGCTCCGCAGGGGAACAGCGCGAGCAGGGCTGCCCACAGCGCGCACAGGCGGGACAGTCCCAGGAGCGCCGCTCTGTCCATGGCCCCAGCATGGAGTCCCCCGGCCCCAGCCGCTCCACTGCTGCCCTCTCTGCCCAGAGGCCCGCCAGGCCAGAGGTCAGTTCCCCAGAACCAAGTTGTCCCTCGCCCCCTCTCTCCCTGTGAGACAACATAAAAAGAAGGCCAGCGGTGGTAGGGGCTCTCAGCAGCCTTCCCCTCACTTGCAGGGAGCAGTTGGAAGGAGGTGGAGAAAGGAGCTTGGGGCCCTCCTCCCGCGCGGAGCTGGAGGTGTGCAAGAGGTGCGGGAGCGTCCCTCGCCGAAATAGGTGAGAAACTTCTGTTGGTGTAGCTGTCTCCATCGCCCCCGGCCTCTCCTCCCATCTCCTCCCCCTGGCCGCTCCTGGAGCCTGATTGGCCCAGCCTCGGCCCCGCATCTCATCATCCCCGGACCTCAAGCTCCCATTGGCTGCGAGCGGGCTCCGCGGGGGGCGCTCGGGCCCGCTGCTCCGTCCGGGACAGCGCGTCCAGACCCGGGTGTGTTCGTGACCTTTCCTCCTGTCGCGGTCTTCTAAGAGCGGGTCTCGGCGGGAGGGGTATTGATTCAACCCGAAGACGGCCAGGGCCGCTTCTGTCTTAGCAACCCTGGGGGAAGGCGTGGGTCGAATGGGAGATGTTTGAGTTCCACCCACCCCACTCGCATTTGGATTAATTACCCTCTGGGTGGAGTGGCTGGAAAACCTCACTGCCCCCGTTTCTTTCCTCTCCCTCACCTCACAGGAGAGTAATCTTTTTGAGTCAGAGTTGGTACCAAACAAGTTGACCTTTCAACACTGCTTGAGGTCTCAACGTGTCAGGAGACTTCAGATGGGTGAAATGCTGTCAGGCTTGAGGTCGTCGTCATTTAAATAGACATTTATTTATTTTTAGCCAAAGAGAAGGTTCTGGCCTCCTATCTAATCTACCATATTTACATGGTGTTACGCGATTTCGTTTTCCCGGTTTGTCTTACTTTCTGCAGTCTTTGAGAGCATTGTCAGAAGACGGAGGAAGGAGAGAGACAGAATGTGCGAGAGAGAGCTTCTGGGGAGCTCTAGAGTAGATGAGGGTTGCGTCCCTGCCCTTATCGCCACTCGGTATTGTGGCTCACGTGGAGACCTTGGACAAGGCTACACACGGAGGACACAGTTTAAAAAGTTACTCGTTAAACGCTTCATGTTTGCCCAGTACTGTGGGAATTTATAGACAGTGTCCCTTCCCTCAAGTTCACACACCAGCCACAGAGACAAGTCTAAAACAGAAGAATTTGAGATTTCACTGAAGGAGAGCGTAGAGTCCAGTGAGGCACTCTAGAGCCAAAGAGAGTGGGGAAGCCAGAGAATGTATGGTGCCCGGCAGTTTAGGAAGGCTAGGGAACCAGGGATTTTCAGGATAGAAGATCTCTGGGACAATTGGGAAGGCAAGCTGGACCCTCTCAGCCGTCGTATCCAACAGTCCTGCCTCACCTGGCTGGTGACATGAAGTGTTTCTGAGAGGTGTCACCTGCTCCCCAGAGGACTTCTGAAATGGTAGTAAATTCTCAGGGTGGACCTACCAGACTTACTCGGATAAAAGATTGGCTTTCCTTTGCTTTGTCCTCAAATAAAGGATTTTATTTGCTGCATGTCTCCTCCATCAGCCCAGAGCAATAAAAGCTCACTGAAATTCCCATCCCATCCCATTCATGCCTTTATCCAACAAATATTTGTTGAGCGAACACTATGTACCAGGTCCTAAAGCCACATTGTAATTTTTAGAGAGTCAAGTTGATGATAGGGTGTAGTTCCTGATCCAGACATATTTTGGCTAATGGCTAGTGGCCTCTCTCAAAATCAGAGCCTTCATCCAAGCTCACTTTATTCTGTGAGCCTCTCCAGGGGGATCATGGAGCATTTTCTGCTGTATCCCCGCCATTGGGCCCAGCGCATGAAATCTTGGTTTTGAACAGAATTTATTGAGTGGATTAACATGATGAGGAACGCCCTGAGTGCATACCTAAGTGGTCTAAATGATGAAATAAGAGAAGTGACTTCCTTTTCAGGGGGAATGGGGGAGGGGAGAACATTAATACTTAGGGATTATTCTGTCCATACCTCTAAAGCAAAGGGTATTTATTTCCAAGAGTTGATGGAGCTGAAGAAATACACTTTTCATTCAATGAACAGACATCGGAGTGCCTTTTTTTTTTTTTTTTTTTTTTTTTTTTTTTTGCCAGACATTCATGCACGGAGAGCCTGATGAGTGCCTCTAGTATTCAGTCTCTTACTCTCGCTTTGTCTCTCTCTTCTCTCTCTCTTTCCACACAAAATTTCAACCCTCCCAAATTGGTACTCATTTTATAGATTAAAAAATGAATTGGAGCTGTTAAAAACTTGCTCAAGGTCACTCAAGTAAGTAGTAGAGTCAAAAATAAGTCTTATGAAAGGGCACCTGGGTGGCTCAGTCAGTTGAGCGTCCGACTTCGGCTCAGGTCATGATCTCACTGTCTGTGGGTTCGAGCCCCACGTCGCGCTCTGTGCTGACAGCTCAGAGCCTGGAGCCTGCTTCGATCCTGTGTCTCCCCCTCTCTCTGCCGCTCCCCCGCTCTCACTTTGTCTCATTCTGTCTCTCAAAAATAAATAAATGTAAAAAAAAAAAAAAGTCTTATTGTAGCGGCTTGTTCTTTCCACCTCAATATACTGCTGCATAACCTAATTCACAACTTTCTTTCTTTCTTTCTTTCTTTCTTTCTTTCTTTCTTTCTTCTGATTAAACTCCACATCACTGGGCTTCAGGGGCTAAATTTCTCTTTTGTGTTCCATGGTTCTTCATATCACAGTTCACCGATCTCTCCATCAGAAGAGTTCGTCTGTCCTCTGAACAACCCACGATGGGTTGCCTTGAAGTGGATCTCACTGAGGCAGATGTCCGTCCACCTGGGTATCCTGCCGCTTGCCCCCTCCTCACTGTCTGGTTTCGGCAGCCGAGACAGAGCAGTGGGGAGAGCAATGGGTGAGTTGGGTGACTGAGGCGCCAGTCAGCCAGTTGTACTCTTAGGCAATTCATTTCAACACTGAGTCTCAGTTTTCTCACCTTTAAGATTATAAAAAGCTCTCTTTCAGATCTGAAGCTCCTACTAGCGTTCCCATAGGGCTGGAGGGAGGGAAGTAGTGGGAGTGTGTGTGTGTGTGTGTGTGTGTGTGTGGCAATGGGGGGTGGGAGACTGCATTTGCTAGTGGATTTATAACCCCAGGAGGAGGAAGCCTTTAGTCATTGACAAGGGCATGTCTACTTGAGTGATGGCCCAGTTTCCAGGGTGACACAGGCTAGACTTTTTTGGCCCCTATCCTGCATCTTCAGTTCTACTTTTCCTTCTGAGTTTCAATTAAAATGAATTCTTTTAATTGCAAAAGTCTTTTTAAATGGTTGAACTTTAGGGGTACCTGGGTGGCTCAGTTGGTTAAGCGACCAGCTGTAGCTCAGGTCATGATCTTGCAGTTCGTGGGTTCAAGCCCCACATCAGGCTCTGTGCTGATGGCTCAGAGCCTGGAACCTGCTTCAGATTCTGTGTCTCCCTCTCTCTTTGCCCTTCGCCTGCTCGGGCTCTGTCTCTCTCAAAAAATAAATACACATTAAAATTAAAAAAAAAAAAGATTTAACTTTAAAATGCAGTATAATCTAGGGCTACCTGCGTGTCTCAGTCAGTTGAGTGTTTGGCTCAGGTCATAATCTCACAGTTTACAAATTTGAGCCCTGCATCAGGCTCTGTGATGACAGCTCAGAGCCTGGAGCCTGCTTCCAATTCCGTGTTTCCCTCACTCTCTGCCCCTCCCCCACTCGTTCTGTCTCTCTCTCAAAAATAAATAAACATTAAAAAATTTTTAAAAATTAAAATAAAATACATTATAATGTTATCAGGCCATATGAAATTTATTTATATTTTTTTTATTTTTTTAGAGAGTGTATGTGTGCATGCAAGTGGGGGAGGGGCAGAGGGTGAAAGAGAGAGAGAGAGAGAGAGAGAGAGAGAGAGAGAATCTTAAGCAGGTTCCATGCCTAGCATGGAGCGCCATGCTCACTGTGAGATCATGACCTAAGCAGAAATCAAGAGTCAGATGCTCAACTGACTGAGCCACCCAGGTGCCACGATATGAAATTTTATTTTGAGGGTAAAGGAAATTACAGATATTTTATTTATTCTGGAATGTGAAAGTGAGGAGTTCTTTTATAATCTAATTTATATCTCTAATAGAATATGGTTCATGTCTCCTATCATTAATGAGGATTATACTATCTAGAGAAAATAAATGATGGGTCAAATCCAAACATATATATAACCACACATTTCAAATTGTTAATTTTTTAAGCAGCAAGCAGGAGCTTTGCTTCCTATTTATTGTTTACAATTCATAATTTGGAGAGAGGACACACTATTAACAGGCCAATAAATTATGACCTGATGTTTTACTGTGTTACGCAAGCTATCTAAGCTTCAGGTATCCATATCCGTAAAACGTTGCAAAGATTTTCTCATTCATTGTTCATAAATACAAACTTTGCTATGTCATCTCATGATCTGAACCCAGCTACCTAAAATTTGATTAAGGCTAAGAAAATCACCATGTGACTCCAAGTTTGCACAGGTTATTGAAGCATCTATGCTGTCTTGATTCCGTAAGGAGAATGTGTATATGAACCGGTTTTCCTAGCAGGGGTTAGGGGTTTTGAGCTATATTCCAGAAGAGGGTGTTTAGGAGGGGGAAAGCCAGATTTCAAGCATATCCATTCACTCAAGAGAGCTCTCTCAAGGGACTGAATCTGTCGTAATGGGGGCCATCATTGACCAGCTGGGCCAACTGCACCAGATAAGGAGCTGGCTGGCAATAAATCCTACTGCCCACTCAGGACTGTTGTAGATTATTCGTTGTAGAACCGAGAGGGGCCTGTTCTTTCTGGTAGTTTTCTCTCAGTCCCTGGGAAACTCAGCAAAAAAGTCTGCCTGCACAGATACGCCTTGGACTCTGCCTCTGGCAATCCATCAGAGAA